CATATTCGGCACTTATTTATTGTCGACTAAGAGCTTAAGAAGCATTCTCGGTTGCACCTAGGGGTGGCAAACGGGTCGACCCGACCCGACCCGACCCATATAAAATTTGACCCGACCCATATAAGTGTAACCCGACCCGACCCGTTTAATAAATGGGTCAATGTTACCCGACCCAATTATTAAACGGGTTACCCGACCCGACCCATATAACCCGAATAACCCGTTTATCAAGTACAAGACATATCCTAACACACATAACTATTAAAAAATTTTATACATACACAAAAAAACACTTCTTGCAAACTCCTTAGACAAAAACTATCACTACTTACAACATGAAGTTATTTCAAAGACATATTCAGTATTTAAATGTACTTCAACGAATTACAAATATCAACAAACAAAAATACATCGATGCAGCTCTTTAGACACAGAATAAGTTAAACTAAGAACTAGCAACAAAGAATTTAACAAAAGTAAATAAAGAGAATATACACAAGTTTACAACAAAATAGTTAGGAATTTGATTGCCATTATCATAGTCCATTTCCAAATTTACAAAAAAAATGCAATTACAGTTTACAAAAAATTTAATTGTCCCATTTCCTAATTTACAAAAAATGTAATTACAATTTACAAAAAAATTAACCGACCCATCTCCAAATCTCCAAATTTGAGTCAAAAAATTCATTCTCGGAGTGAAGGTGATGCCCTTGGCGGTGGCAAGGACAATGACGGAGTGTGATTCCCAGTTTAGTGCAGTGCGGCTGGATCCTCTGTTGCCTGCAAAGATTGAGAAGAGAATTTTGAAGAAGGGAAAGTGCAAACGTTGCAGAAATGCTTCATAAACTCTTGCTTGATATGTTATGGTAGATAACGGCTGCAAGGTTCCTGGCAATTGTATCTCATGAGGTTGAATGATAAGTAGCGATGAAAGGATCATTCTTTTATAATAATGGAAATCTAATGCATATAATATGTATATGTGGATGTCAATGTAATATATATAGTATAAAGATGTGGATATATTTTATTTGCTAGAAGCACAAGGTGTAAAATCTATGAAGGAAATAAAAAAAAATTAGTAACAATCATTAGTGAAAAACAGAAAGTTAAAGAGTACAGAGCAAATTCAAAAATTGAATCACTGAAACTTCAACATGCATGCACGGATACAACATTACATAGGCATAGGTGCATAATGAACGATTAAATTAGAAATCTACCATTTGTTTGTAAAACAAAAAAATAATATCTAGAATCATGAACTCATCCCTTCATGCAAAAATTTGAAAGGGTGAGGAAGAAAAAGAGCCAGGAATTGGAAGATCGCTTGTTGTTACTGGGTGATGCATGAAAGAAACTACACACTTGCACAAATTAAAAAGAAAAGAAACAATGAAATCAAACCTTGAGTCGCAGATTACACTTGGCTTCTTGTGATGCATTCTTCCTCACCACAATTAATTAGGGACCAACTAGAGACACTTCTGAGTTAACTAGATCTGTAGAATTTTAATTGTACAGTATGAGATGCAGAAAAATACACAATATTACTCAACAAGTGCTATCAGAGCAAGCAGTCAACTGTGTGTGGAAAGTAAACATGGATCTGTACATAGGATTTAGATCACTACAGTATGAGAAATGTAGAAAAATACGTGTTACTTTTAAAAATTGTAATAGTCATAAATAAGTATCTTAGTACATTAGTACCTGAGTGTATCAATAACTTGAGTCAGGTTTATGAGCCGGCTGGAATAAAGTTTTTGCAAAAAGAGAGGATAATGTGGAAAAGAGAGGGGGGATAGAATGATTGAGATAGGTTCATATCTTTATAACGAAGCATTACACAACAATAAGGGTTCATAACATCATGCCGCAAATAAAAAATGAAATAAAAAAATTAGTGAAAAGCAATTTCATCTGCCTACCAAACATAAGTTGCTTGATAGTCAAGCAGAAACATTGAATGACAATGAGGGTTCATAAAACACACAATAAATAGGGGAAAATCCAGAATAGCCATGATTAAATAGATAGAAAATCCCAAAATAGATAGAAAATCCAGAATAGCCATGATTAATAGCCATAATTAACAAGCTTAAGCTTTTTCTTATTCCATAACCACCTAAAACTTAAGAAAGGTAAGTGAGCAAACAGAAAGCAAGCATATACAGAAATCAAGCATATACAAAATAGCCATGATTAAATAGATAGAAAATCCCAAAATTGAAAGAAGACAGGATGAAAAAAACCCCAAAATTGATAGAACGCAAGATCAAAAAGCCCTAGCTAAGAGTGTACCCAAAATCCATAGAACGCAAGATCAAAAAGCCCTAGCTAAGAGTGTACCCAAAATCCAGTGATTAGCTCGATCGGAGAGAGGGAGGAGGAACTATGGCTGCTCGACGGAGAGAGGAGAACTCGAGCGCTCGAGAGGAGAGAGAGGAACTATGGTTCGAGGATCGCTGCCGCTCGCCGATCACTGCCGCTTGCCTCCGCTCGCTGCCGCTCGCCTCCGCCGCTCGCCGCCGCTCGCCGCTCGAGCTTCGTGATGCGATCTAGGGCTTTTCTTTCTCTCTGCGGTTTTTTTTTTCGTTCTCTAGAGCGGCGCATTTATGAGGGAGTGAGGGAACGAAGGGTTGTTACACGGGTCGTGATTTTTGTTATACGGGTCAATAGGTAACCCGAATTGACCCATTTAATAAATGGGTAAATTTGGGTTGACCCTTTTATGACCCGACCCTTATAAATTGACCCATACCCATTATAAACGGGTCGGGTCGGGTCGGGTTGATGGGTCGGGTCATAAATTGCCACCCCTAGTTGCACCTTCTCTTTTCTCGTATACAAACAGTTGCCGGTTAAAGAATAAAGATTAGATAGAGAAAGTGATGTAACAAATGGATATGTATACTCAAATGGTTGTCATGTAGAGTTATCCATAATAGTCCACTTGGGTGCCTGTGTCCCGTATATAGAAAGCATTCACTTTTATTTTATTGCTTATCATCTACAAGAATTAGAAGTTGCAAATCTGGCTTATTGACCTTATTAATTACGTGTTAAGAACGAAGTTATTATTAGAAATATTAGGTAGTAACCTTTATTTGTATTAAAAAAATAGGAAGAAGAAGAAACTAAAGGCTGTAACTAATGCAGTCCCCTTTAGGTTTTTACTACGGCAAAGCTCTGAAGTTAGAGTGATGTTTCAGAGTTATAACTGTACTCTAACATGCCAACGTAGGTTAAGCGTTTTTTTGTTGGTCGAGGTTATGTTGGACTTTTTAACAAAACCATTAATGCATTCGGATTTTTTTATAACAAAACCATTAATTTGGTATTTCTCGAATAAAATAGTTTATTGTATTATGATCTAAAGCCTCTAATATTCATGGTAGTTTGTGAACACAACACAAGTAGTTCTGGACGCTCCACCAATGGTTAAGGGGTGCTCCCATGTAACGAGAGATCCGAGATTGAAGATTAAGTTGTAGCCCATCCATATCACATGTTCATCATTGACAACGTTGTTTTTTGCACGTTGAATTCTATAAAATTGCATGATTGAAAAATGGAAATAATAAATACACATGATTGAAACTAGGAATAAGA